CGCACCTGCTCGGCGCTCCGACTGACCGCCCCTGCGCCCATTCCCCACCGCACCAGGCGGCCGGAGCTCCGGGGCGCGGGCGGCTGTGCGCGCGCCGACGGCGCTTCTCCTTCCCGCCCTGCGCTCCAGCCGCCGCCACGCCTCGGCCCGCCGCTTCCCGGCCTTCGCGGCTCGGCTGGCGCGGCCGCCACACAAGGCGCTCGGGGCGGCTGGGTCCCATGCGCTCGCTCCCAGGACCAGGGCCTGAACCGAAGTATTTATTCCGAATATAGGTGTATCTTTCCACTTCACAAAGCGTGTTTCCATCCCATGCGTAGTTATTTTTAACACGTTTTAATTCTTTAATTCACCCAACAACTACTTATTGAGCACCTGATAGGTGTGAGGCACAGTTCCCGGCACTGAGCCAACAGAAATGGAAAAACAGAACAAAACAGCTCCTCCACCCCCCAAACTCCCTGCGGTCACGGGGCAGACACGTGCTTCTCACGTGATTCCGAAGTTACTTTTGAGATTTGCAGCAGGGACCCAATCCTTTGTGGGTATTAAAGATGTGAGATAAATGCGGTGTTGTTAAGATAAGGGAATTGTAGCCCATAGCTATTTAATGAATATGCCGAAGGTGTCAGGGCTCCAGGCATACCTGTGCAGAAAGGCAAACACCTTCCCTCCAAGCCCGGGTACAGATGCTTCCTTTTTCCTTTGTCCATCAACACGTGGCTGAGCCTGTCCTCTGTCTGGCACTGCACTAGGTGCTGCAGCGGCAACGAACTCAGCTGGGTCCCTGCTTGCAAGGAGGCCAGAGCCCAGCAGGGGAGAAGTGGGAAAACAACCAGCAGGAAGTAGGTGTCCTCAATTAAAGGTGACGGATGGGAGGACAGGAAGAGGGATTCGTTCTGGGGGCCATTGTAGAGAGAAACGTCGCTGTGGTTTTCATCCCAACACCTAGATAGCCTCACATGAGGGAGCAGTCCTGTGGTTTTCAAACTGTATTATTGAGACCTCTAGGCATAGCAGAAGGTTCAGAGGTTCCACAAACTTTTATTATCAGATTTTATTTTTATAAAGCTTTTCTTCTATGAAGTATTTCTTAGAATACATAGACACCTATTTTAGAGAGTCAAATAATTGTATAAGATTTGTTCAAAGCAGAGCCCTCTCTCCATTTTCAAGTATTTAAACTTCCTTTTTGGCTGGGTCCTTCCTCACAGGGTCAGTTCAAGGGGATATGCCCATCCAAAGACCACTTACCCCCCTATATGCCATATTCCAAACACCTGGGGCCCTGGAATTGCCTGCCCAACTCGCTTTGTGGGCTTGTACCAGCTTCTTCCTTGGATCTCCTCTCCCCAGCCAGGCCTTGCTGATGGTGTGGGCATCCCTAGGCCTGAAGGGTAGTCAAAGACAGCTCTTTACAGCAAGAGGTGTGAGAACAAGTTAGGGTGTCCACAGGATCCTGTCTAAGGCTCTCTCAATGCAGAACAGGCAAAATCAGAAGGGAAGGAGGGTCAGGCAAGAGCCAGGGGCTGGGGCTGCTATTTTCTAGTATAGAACTCTAAGAATTCCAAAAATTCTAATTTAGAACCTGGCCTTGCAAGTCCTTATGAAGGTACTAGAGCAGCCGTGGGCAAACTACGGCCCGCGGGCCGGATCCGGCCTGTTTGAAATGAATAAAACTAAAAAAAAAAAAAGACCGTACCCTTTTATGTAATGATGTTTACTTTGAATTTATATTAGTTCACACAAACACTCCATCCATGCTTTTGTTCCGGCCCTCCAGTCCAGTTTAAGAACCCATTGTGGCCCTCGAGTCAAAAAGTTTGCCCACCCCTGTACTAGAGGCCTAGTGCACGAATTCGTGAACGGGTGGGGTCCCTTGGCGTGGCCTTCGGGGATTGGGCTGAAACCGGCAGTCCAACGCCGCCTGCCGCCCCTGCTCATCCCGGCCCCACTGCACCTGCCGGGGGCTCGCACTCAGTAAGTCCTGATTGGGAGAGGCTCACGCTGCAGCCTCGGCACTCACCAGCCATGAGCCCTGCATCTGGCGCCCCTCCCGAGGGGAATGGGGGGTGGCCGGATGCAATCAGCCCTCTGGGCAGGTGGTGGGATGCTCTTGCTGGCCCAGGATCCTGATCTGTCCTGCTGACATTTGCGCTGGTTGTCGTGAGCCACCTGGTGGCGCTTTTATGTAGTTTCTTCCTTGTGGAGCATCTAGGGAGGGGAAGCGAAGTGGACGCAGTGCGTGAGGCCGACTTCCAGGAGGCTGGCAGTGCTGTCGGGATCATGCTGGCAGCGCCAGTCCATCGGTGCCTAGCCCGTTCTCTGGAGATTGGACCTGCAGGTCTACTGAGAGTGAGTGGCTGCTGCCGGGTTGATGGGCCACTGGGATGGGTTGGTCGGCTGAGTGGCACTCCTGCTGTGGGAGTGCACTGACCACCAGGGGGCAGCTACCGCGGTGAGCGTCTGCCCTCTGGTGATCAGTGCATGTCATAGCAACTGGTTGACCAGTCATTGGGTTGCTTAGGCTTTTATATATATAGATAGATTTGTTAGCTTAATTTATAACATTAAAATATTTAGGCCCTAACTGGTTTGGCTCAGTGGATAGAGCGTAGGCCTGCGGACTCAAGGGTCCCAGGTTTGATTCCAGTCAAGGGCATGTACCTTGGTTGCGGGCACATCCCCAGTGGGGAGTGTGCAGGAGGCAGCTGATCGATGTTTCTCTCTCATTGATGTGTCTAGCTCTCTATTCCTCTCCCTTCCTCTCTGTAAAAAAATCAATAAAATATATTTAAAAAATATATTTAGTATGTGAGTCTCCATTGTAGTTTTGCCCTAGCCCCCACAAGCAATAGGGGCAGATTTGAGGATTTCCCCCTCTTACTCCCTCCCCACTCTTATAGCTCATTCCCATCTCCCTTCTGCCAAATTTAACTTGATAATTTTTGCTAGTTCAATTTTTAGTTCTTAACAACACAGTGACTATATATTCCATTCAGAATTGAGCCATGTAGAAAACTTTGGTTACTCTTCCTTTCCTGCACAATTTTTTATTTTTTCTGGAATGAATAATTATCTTTTTTAAAATTTGTTTAGTGGTCTATGTATTTATCAAAATCTGCCTTAAAATCTTCTCCAAACTGTCTAAATCTTTTCTCAGAATATCTAGATACAACAGATATTCTATCAACTTCACCTTCTTGAAGGCATCTCTGCTGGAGCCTCTGACTTGCTCCACTCTGAGGGTTTATCCTCTATCCTTGCTGAACACCTGGCAACCTGGCATCTCCTCTCTCATCCTCCGGGG